CGGTCAAACATCCCGCGGAAACGCACGCAAACCCCAGGCCCCCCCCCCCCCCCCGTGTCCCAGCGGCCGTCGTTGATGAAGGCGCCGCCGCCCAGCAGCGGACTCGGCGTGTGAAAACCCAGCAAGTACAGGTGCTGCATCTGCACGTTCACCACGTGCGACGCGCACTCCATTTGCCGCAGCAGCAGCGCCGTCCGCCGGTCTATCAGCACTCCGCTGTACTCGCAGATTTGCTGCCGCCGGCTGAAGCCCCGGCAGCTGTAAATCCCCAGCCCAGAGCCCCTCCCCAGCGACGAGCAGCCCACCAGCAGTCCCTGCGAGATCCGCGCGAGCCCGCACGGCCGCACCGGCCCGCCCGCGCCCGCTGCTGCTGCTGCTGCTGCTGCTGCTGCTGCGCCGCCCGCCCGCGCACCCGGCGCCGCTGCTGCTGCTGCGCCCGCTGCAGCAACGCAGCCGCTCCCGCCCAAGCCTCCAGCCGCACTCGCAGCAGCCAAAGGCTTCTTTCCACAAGACGAAGCTGCTGCGATGCTCAACGGCTTCGCTGCTGCTGCTCCTTCAGCGCTTGCTGCTGCTCGAGCCGCCTCCCTTGGGCTTTCTCGCGGCCGCCCTGCAGCAGACGCTGCAGGGGCTGCTGCTGCTGCTGCTGCTGCCGATGCCCTGCACACGCTGCACCTTGCTCGAGAAACTGAATGCTTTTCCTCCGCTCCTCCCGCTGCTGCTGCTGCTGCTTCTGCTGCCCCCGCTGCTGCTGCTGCTGCCGCCACTGCAGCTGCGCGGCCCCCCCCTTCGGCGCTCCAGGACCTTCTGCGCAGCCTCGAGGGAGGCGTCTGCTGCTCGAGCCTGCGCTGCCCCGCCAAGGTCGCAGCAGCAGCTGCTGCTGCAATGTCCCTCACAGCAGCAGCAGCAGCAACGGCCTCGCTAGCAGCAGCAGCAGCACCGCTGCTGCTCACTGCCGGCTCACTTTGCCTCTGCCTTCGCTTGGGAGGCAGCACGTCAAAGGCGGGCTCTTGCGGGGAGCCCAAAGCTGCACAGCAGCAGCATCCCTTTGCCAGGCTGGTTGCTTCTGCTGCTGCTGCTGCTGCTGCTGCTGCTGCTGCTGCTGACGCGGACGACGGCGCCGGGGCTGCTGCTGCCTTGTCTTTACAAAGGTAGCTCCAGTAAGGACTCAGGCGGTGAGGCGAAGCGGCAGAGCTGCTGCCGGCTTTTCCTTGCCCCTCGCAGCCCCTTTCTGTCAGCAGCTCCGCAGCTGCGGCTCCCTTTGCTGCTGCACCTTCACCTGCAGCAGCAGCAGCAGCAGCAGCAGGTGCAGCAGGTGCAGCAGCAGGAGCAGCAACAGCCAGCGGCGCCGGGGAGGCCCTCTGTGCGCGTCCGAAACGCCGCGTTTGTTGCGCTGCTGCTGCTGCTGCTGCTGCTGCTGCTGTGTCTCTGTCTGGAGCTCTGCCGGCGTCGCCGCCGCCGGCCGCGCCCCTGGCTGCTGCTGCTGCTGCTGCTGCTGCCCAGGGGGCCCTCTGAGCAGCAACAGCAGCAGCAGCAAAACAGTCGAGGCCCCTTCGCCTCGGAGAAGGCAGTCTTTGCCTTTTGGCCGGAGGCGGCGGCCACGGCCGCGCATGCAGACAGAAGATGGAAGGCAGCAGCGGCAGCAGCAGCGGCGGCACCACTGGGGCTTCTCCTGCTGCTTCCGCGCTGCTCCACCAGCTGCTGCCTTCAGCAGCAGCAGCAGCAGCAGCAGCAGACCGCGCCCGCCACCCAATGCGTTCCCTGCGCTCCCCGCAAACGCGCGCAGCCACTTTGCAGCTCTGCTGCGCCGACTCCTGCTGCTGCTGCTGCTGCTGCTGCTGCTGCTGCTGCTGCGCTGCCAGCGTAGGCGATGCTGACCGCTTGAATCTTCGCCGCGGCAGCATTTCTTTTTTCTCTTTTTCGAATTTGCTGTTTTCTTTTTCAACTACTTCGATTTGAACTTCAACTAATTCCGAATTTCCTTCTCCCGACTTCCGCAGCTTGCTCGCGGGAGGGGCCGCGAGCGCCGCGGGCAGTTCACGTTTGCTGCTGCTGCTGCTGCTGCTGCTGCTGCTGCTGCTGCTGCGCAGACTCCCGTTGGCCTGCAGCCGCCCCAGGCAAGAAGAGCAAAGAAAGTTTCCACTGGAGAAGCTGGAGGCGGAGAGGCAGAGGACACAGGGCCTCAGTTCTGCTGCTGTACGTACACCTGAATCGCAGCCACTCCTGCTGCCTGAAGCGTTCTTTGCTTTTGCTGCAGCAGCAGCAGCAGCAGCAGCAGCAGCGGGGGATTCCTCGGGCGCTTCGCTGCTGCCCGCTAAGGCTGCACAAGACTCGCGAGCAGACTCGTAGCCGCTGCTGTTCTTCTTGCTGCTGCTGCTGCTGCTGCCGCTGGTGCTGCTCGTGCTGCTACAGGTAGTGCTGATGCAGGTTTCTGTGCTGGTGGTGGTGTGCGTCTCCAGCGGGTCTGCAGCGGCAGCAGCAGCAGCAGCAGCAGCAGCAGCTGCTGCTGCTGCTGCTGCTGCTGCTGAATTCCCTTTAGAGGCCGCCGCCTCCTCCTTGGGAGAGGCGAGGCCCTTTCCCTCGTTGTGGGGCGCAGCAGCAGCAAGCGGGCTGCGCCGCTGCGCCCGAAGTGCTGCTGCTGCAGCGCCGCCTGCTGCTGCTGCTGCTGCTGCTGCTGCTGCTGCATGCAGCCCCAAACTCTGCAGCCCGCCCCGCAGTCGCCCGGGATCTGCTGCCAGCCAGCGGGCCAAAATGCTCTCTGGAGTGGCTGCGTGGGGGGGGCGGCGGCGGGGGTCAATGTCTGTGCCTTTGCTGCTGGCTGCCAGCTGCAGCAGCAGCTGCTGCTGCAGCAGCCGGAGGGTGCGCCTGCGGGCGGGC